CCCCCGCGACCCCTGAAGCGGCCCTTAGCCCCCCGCGCCTCCTGAAGCGACCTCCCTAACCCCCGCGCCCCCCTCAGAGCCCCACCGCCCCCCAGAGCCTCCTGCAGCACCCCACCCGCAGCCGAGGGGCGCAGAGGCGCGGGACCGTCCCAGAGGCGCCCGCACCGTCCTCCCGCTGAGAGGCGCCCGGCGCGCCGACGAGTGTCCTGCTGGGGGCCCGGTGCCCCGCGGGCGCGCTCTGCGGGGAGGCGGAGCCAGGGCGGCGGGTGCGGGGCCTCGGCCCTGGGCCCCGCCCTGAGCTCGGCGACGCCCAGAACAGCCCCTAGCCGAGCTGCGGGCCCGCGGAGGGCGGAGCGGGGAGGGCCGGCGACACGGCCGAGCGGGGAGCCCTGGGCCCAGGGACGGGAAGGCCAGGGATCCCGCAGGCTTGGGACCGCCCTGCGGGGGCGGCCGGCAGCCGCAGCAGCTCAGCGCCCGCTCCCAGACCGAATCCGGTTTCAAGCCCTGGCCGTTCACCCGCTGCTACTGACCTTATCCAAGTTCCTTAACTCCCCTGTGCCCTGTCCCTTCTCTGTCACACGAGGATGGTCCACCCCGAAGTGCCTGTGGGGCTAGCTGAGTTAATGTGCACGAAGGGTGACTCCGCACTGTTCAGGGCTCTGCCATCTCCTACAGTTCCCACGTTTGGGAGGGAAACTGATACTGGAGCAATGCCATGACTTGGGAGACTTGGGTGCCTTTCGTTTCTGAGGAGGTCATGTTACCGCCACCCAGCGCCCTAGGCCTGACCCGGTACATGACTGGAGAAAAGGGTCCCTCCTCCGACTACAGATGGACGCCCCTGGTTGTAGAGGGTGTCTGCCAGGGTGCCCTGGCTGCCTGGCATGATGTGCGGGGGTCTGGGAGGGCCCCTGGGAAGGGGCCTGGCCGGTGCGTTGGCTGGGACAGGGAAGGGGGCGCTTCCGACAGAGCACAGCTCAAGCAACCAAGGCGGGCAGGACACATCCCTAGTGCCCTGACAGCGTGGAGGCAGCGGCATGACCTGAGCTACAAAGAGGCTGGGACCTGCTTGGGCCCCTCAGCTCCTCTAAAGCCAGATCTCCGAACCCTGTCCTGGAGCTGCTCAGGGCGTCCCCAGCTCTGAGGACATAATGACTAACCTTGGCACGGACTGTGACATATCCAGAGCTTTCCCGAGAGAGGTCCTTACCGGTGACCTAGACATCCGCCTCTCCCACGGCCACTCCTAACCTTCACCACCTCCTTAAACTCCTTCCTCCAACAGCGCCTACCTCCCCTGAGACCCCTTCTCTCCACCAGCCCGGGCCCAAGGCCAGCCCAACCCCTCCATCACCACGGGACTTTGCTGCGTCCGTCCTGCCTTCTCTCTTGTATCGTGAACCCCTCGAGCGCCTGGGTCCCTGCCCTCAACCTAGACACACGCTCAGTCAGTTCCCGGCTGGAAGTGTGCTCCCTGGACCCGAGCGGCCTCTCTGCTTGCCATCTTCCTTCCTTTCTCATCCATGCAGGGTTTAATGACCATGGCTGTGCTGATAGATCCTAAATTAATCATTCCCAGCTTTGACTGCTCTCCTCAGCGCTGTGGAATGGGCAGCCCGCAGGACCTCACACTGGCCTAAATGGAATTCGTCATCTGCCTCCAGACCACTCCAGCTTTATCGCATCTGGTGGCACCACCATTCACACAGCCCTCCAAGCCGGAGTCTGGGAGTCCTCATCACTTCTGGCCGATCCCAAATTCCTTTGCTTACCAATGAAACAGTCCTACCGAAGTTGCTTTCCAAATGTCTCCCTGGTCTGTTTGCTCCTCCCCATCTGCACCACCACTGGCTTGGTTCAGGTCTGCACCAAGTCCCCCTCCCTCATGTCTCTGACACTGACCTCACCTGCCCTAGAGGACCTTACCTGGCCACCCTCCCTCACCTCCCCCACCCTTGCAAGCAAGCACCCTGCTCTACTTTCTTTATAACACTCTACTTATACTATCCAAAATTACCTTGCTTAACCCCTCGGCTCCCTGTTCTGGGTGTCTCTCTCCATTGTAGTGCAAGCTCCTTGTTTCCCGTTCTATTCTCACCATCCAGATTAGCACCTGATACAGAGGAGATGCTCAAGGAACATTTGCTCACTGCTGTGTGGGGGAATATATTTGCAAATGATATATCTGACAAGGGGTTAATATCCAAAATATATAAAGAACTCATACAACTCAACACCAAAATACCAAATAACCCAATTTAAAAAATGGGCAGAGGAGCTGAACAGATATTTTTCCAAAGAAGACATACAGATGGCCGACAGGCACATGAAAAGATGCTTCACATCGCTAATCATCAGGGAAATGCAAATCAAAACCACAGTGTGATACCACCTCACAGCAGTCGGAATGACTAGTATCAGCTAGACGAGAATTCAGTGACGGCGAGGACGCTGCCGGCGAGGACGCGGAGAGAAGGGAGCCCTCCGGCTCTGCGGACTGGTGGGGCTGCAAACCGGTGCGGCCGCTGGAAGGCAGTGTGGAGGGTTCTTAAAAAACTAAAAATAGAAATACCATACAACCCAGTAACTCCACTTTTGGGAACCTACCTGAAGAAAATGAAATCACTAACTGCAAAAGCTATACCCCTATGATTAAATAAAGAGGGATGAAGAGGTACAAACTTCAAGTTATAAAATAATTTAGTCACAGGGATGGAAGTACAGCATAGAGAATATGGGTCATACTATTATAATACCTTTGTATGGTGACAGGTGGTAACTACACTTACAATGGTGAGCATTTATTAATATATGTAACTGGTGAATCACCAAGGTGTTCCTCTGAAACCAATGTAATATTATATGTAAACTACATTTCAATAAAAAAAATAGGTAAATGGAATCACATAGTTAAAAAAAGAAAAGAAATACTTGTTCTTGAATGCTCTAGATCATCATTGTCTGATGGAAATATAATGCAAGCCAGAAATGTGAGCCATGTGTAGTTTTAAATTTTCTAGAAGCCACATTAGAAAAGTAGAAAGACACAGGCGAAGTTAACTTTAAGAATAGATTTTATTTAACCCAATATGTCTAAAAGGTTATATTTTCAAGTCACCAATGTCAAAGATATTAATGAGATAAGTTGCATTCTCTTTTTCATACTTAATCTTTGAAATTTTGTATGTAGTGTCCACTTACAGCATATGTCATTTCAGACAAGTCACATTTCAAGTGCTCAATAGCCACCGTGTGGCCAGGGGCACCTGTACTGGACTTCATAGCTCTAGACTCACCTCTCCTGTCATACTGACCTGGCTTCAGCTGTGCTCTCTGTTCCTGTAAGAATGAGCATGGTAATTAAATCACTAATAAACTTACTCAAATATCCTCAGAGAGGAGTTTTGGGGTATTATGATACACATGTTGGAGATAATATGGTTCTGTTGCAACAATTTCTCTTAATGCTGAAAATGCAAGTGGTCAGAATGCTTGCAATTGAGACCATTTGGGAAGAACCCTCCCCAAGTTTCTGGGAGGGGCACAAACCCAGTGAATACCGTCTCATTCGGCAACAGTACAGGACTCTGTAGATTATAAAATAATTCCATGGATACGATTTCCTTTAATCTTCACAGCACCTCTTCCAAGACTATAGAGTCATTATGGATGAAGAAACCAGAGCTCAAAGAGGTGAGACGGTTTTCCCAAGGTCAAAGGGCTAAGAGAGGGTGAAATCGAATTCAGATTTCTTGACTGTACGTCTCTGTCCCCAGGATGCCACAGCTGACCAGCCATGAAGCACCATGCTGGGAGCCTTCAAAACACAGGTGGACATACTGCAGATTTGGCTGGTGGCCCCGATGCTCAGGAGGCTGGGGTCTGGAGTCCTCCTCCATGCAGGTCAGGAATTATTAAGTTCCCATTCTCTTGAAAGAGGGCTGGAGATGACTTAAAACAGAAGGCCTTCAGACAGTGAAGTGGTCGCTTGGTGATTCATTTTTGCTTTTCGGTGTTTTTAGGAACATCAATCTCGCAAGCCACGAGGGCTAGTGTTGTAGCCGTGATTGACGCCAAGCTTCCTGGAAGCAAAAATAGGCGCAGGGAGGGCTGCACACAGCCCGTTCCCTGAGGAGAAAGACAGCTCTTGGCTGTGTTGATTCAAAGTCATTGACCACGCAGGGCCCGAATCAGGCCTGTTTCTGCCTGGACAGGAAGTGAAAGCAGAGCGTCAGGACTCGGTCACATGGGAGCCCAGACGGCGCTGCTCTGGAGGGCGGAGTGGGGCGCTGCGGAGCCCCGGCCCCAAGGCTCCGGCTCTTCACATGCCTCTGTTTCCCTCTTTTTTCTCCTGCTGACAAAAGTTAGGGTCAAGTCCCGAGGAAAGGATGTGCGCTCTGGATGAACGTGTAAGGGGCACTCAGGCTGCTCTGTGGCTGTGCAGGGATAGGACCGATGACCCGGGAGTGACCTCGGCAAGCGTGGTGGGCCTTAGGAGGGGGCAGGCCGTTCGGGTCCTGTGCAGGGAAGGGACCAGAGAGTGACCAGGCCACTCGGAGAAATACTAAGCTACCCCAAACACTGTTACCTCTGAACACCGGGTCACTCTAAACAATCACTAAAGGGGACGCCGAGTCACGTCAAGCACCAGGCTCCAGCTGCCAATGGGGAGTTCCAAGGGCTGTGGACTGGCTGTCCAGCGTCCAACAGTGCCAGGCATAGAGCAGGGGCTCAGGAAATGTTAACCGAAGAGGAAGAAGGGGAGGTGGGGTTTAACGAAAATGGGGGAAGGAGGGAGGGGCGTGGAGACAGGAAGGCTGTGGGAAAGGGGTGAGGAAGTTGGATGGAAAGGAGAAGTCAGCGGGCAAAAGGGTCTGTCAGAGGTCTTGTGCCGCTGCTGCATTAGCTTTGCCGGCTGTCCTGGGCCGCTGTCCTGGGTTTCCTAGCAACCAAAGCAAGGCGGGAAACACATCCTAACATTTGCAGCATCGGTAAGGTGAAAACAGATCCGGTTGCTCAGAGCTGCCCCATGGCTCTTCTTAAAGGGAACACTGTCCCATAGCACGTCCTCGGCCGCATTCCCACGGCAAACATGGACTCAGATTCTGAGCAGTCGTCTCTCCGTACGTCCTCGGTGCCGGTGCCTGGCACACCACCAGGAGCCGCCAGGACACTCGGGGGCCAAAGAGCACACAGTGAGCGACTCTGAAAGCTTGGCTTGGTTCAGTGGTACATTTTACAATACCAGGGGGCAGGGGTAGAGAATCTCCCTTCCTGGGAGGCACACGGCACGTCCAGGCTGCGCCCGGGGCAGACACCCCCTGATCACTGAGCGGTCTCCCACGCCTCGTCGGCCTTCCCAGGGGGGCACACCGACAGGGCCCCTCTCGCCCGCCTGCTTGCATCGGTCTGCCTGCTCTGACCAAGGGGCATGCGTGACTACCCTTCAAGCGGTGCTTTATTACTATCATTTCATATAGTAATGTTTTAATACAAATGAGGCAGTGGGTGAAGTTACAGTGCCTGACAAGAGAAAAATATTCCATGTTGATAAGGAAGGATAGAACGTTATGGTTTGACAGGCAAACCAACGGTGGCTAACTGGACACATGTGTGAAGAGGTTGCCCAGGGGGACAGGGACTTAGCCCAACTCCGAGGCTGCCGTGGCTGCAGGCTGACCCGGGGCAGAACGAAAGGCCTCCTGGGATCGGGTTGGACGGGACTGATTGGACGGGAGCTCGAGGGGCTTCCCTGACATTCACTTCCCCTCTCTCCGTGTCTTCTCAACCTCTGATTCGAGAGTTGACATAGTAATAGTTAACATAAGAATAATTAACATCATTAACTGGTCAGTACATTTTTTTTTAAAAGAAGAAACAACACAGTGCTTGAAACAGCAATGGTCCTCCTGGCAGGGCAGAGACGCAGAGGACACAGAGGGGACTGTGGCAGCCGCTGCTCTGCTGGTCCCCAGAACCACGCTTCCCAGTGTGCATGCCCCTTCATCGCCCCTGCCACACTGTCGCTGCACTTGGCATGCGGCCGACTTGCTTTGGCCAATGGGACATTAGAAACAGTAATTTCAACAGACGCTTATAAGGTCTTGGGTATTAGAGCTTGTCCTTTCATGATGCTCTTTCTTGGAATGCAGCCACCATGTTGCACGGAGGCCCAAGCAGCTATGTGGAGAGGCTCACATGGAAAAGCACCAAGGCCCCTGGCTGGCCGCCTGCATGGAGATCGCAGCCAGTAGCCAGCACCAACATGGAGCACGAGTTTGGACCTCCCCACCATCCCAACCAACATCAACACCACATAAAGCATAGCAGCAATTCTCTAGTCAACCCACAGAATCATGAAAATGACACATTCTGGTGTTTTAAGCCACTGAAGTTGGCAGTGGTTTGTTATACAGCAGTGAGTGACTGAAAAATAAAGAGCAGTCATGGAGAAAGAACAGAGGAAATTTAAACCTGAGGCACCAGTATCTTCCCAAGGGAGACAAGGAGCAGGCCCAAGTTCAGAGTAAATAAATGCAGAACAGAAGGAGGCTTTGGTCAAGCACTCAGGAACAGCACCGAGGGCAGCTCAGAGTCAGCTTTTGGCCTCTCCTGGCATGAATGTGTGACAGCTGGAAGCAATGGCATTTATGCTCGGAGTTAAACAAAACCCTGTTTTCTAAAGAAAGTAGACAATCTGCCTGGAGAATGTTCAAGGGTGGTTGTAGGGCCTGAGAAAGAAACAGAACCTAGCCTGAAATGCTAAAGATCTCTACCCCTCAGAATAAAACCTGCTTGGACATCTGTGAAGGTCTCTAACTCGACTATGTGCTCCTTGCCCTGCTACCCTGAAACGGCTTCTATCCTCTGAAACTCCACGTAGACCCCTCAGACAACTCTCAGCCCAGGGAGCAGCCTGACAGGTCCTAACAAGTCTGCAGACACGTTCATGCAAAGCCATCCATACTAATTGCCATAGTTCTTCCTTTATGACTGTGAGCAGAAAACCAACATTTACTAGGGAAACCAACGGCATGAAACAGAAGGCCTGAGTTGTACCAAGAGAAAAACTGACCTTGGAGGAAACAGACAATTTAGGAAAGAAGAGAGAACTTTATAAAAATTGCAATTAATATCCTCAGAGAAATTTGAGATGCTTCCATTGACAAATGGAAAGAAGGGGCTATGATAAAGGAACAAACATGAAAATATTATTGGAAATTAAAAGTGGCTTGCAATAGGAAAAACTTAATTAATGGGCAGAATAATAATTTGGATACAACTCAAGACCAAGTCAAGTGGTTAATTTAGAATCAAGAAACCTCACAGAATGTAGAGCAAGAAAAATAAAGAGGGAGAAAATGTAAGAGCATGGAGGAGAGACAAGGAGGTCCAACACATGTCTAATTGGGAAAGAATAGAGAATAGGACCAGGGCAGAGAGAGCATTCCAGAAAGAAGTTAACCTGGAATATAGGGAGGCTAAAATACCATAGCATGGATGTAGGAACTACCAGCCACCCTCTGGGGTAGAGAAGCTGGGGAAAATTTCAAGCTGGAGAGTCATACTTTCAGCTTGGTCCTTACAGAGGCTTCATCCAGTTGGTGTGCAGAGATGAAGGTGTGGGTTTGAGTGAAACAGGAGGCCCAGGGACAAGAAGAGCAGTAAATCTCAGCAACACAAGAAGGGGTCTAGACCCAGGGCAGCTACAGTGAGGGCCAGAAGGACACACGGAACAGGTGTGGACCTGGCAGAGAGCATGGTGATTGATTGGATGAGAGAGGCACGGACCAGAGAAGAATTTATGAATGGCCGCTGGCCAGGGAGCAGGAAAGGGACAGGGAGCTAAGGGGACTGAGAGGTACTGGAGCTTACGGAGGCTTTTCTCTGGGGCCTCGAGATGGTCCTCATTCCTTGTGGGTGTGCTGCCCAAATGAAATGGGGTCTTACAAACTAGGAAGAAGGAGGTAAACAGTTAGGTGTGGTTGTAAGTCATATTTCATTTCCTACCTTCAAAACTCTGGAGGAGGGGGACAAAAAGGTAAAAATGAATGACCCAGGTCACCTTGCTTCTAAATATGTCCTGGTGGCATTGACAAGTGAAAAGACTGCAAAAAGGCCTTGTCTATGCAAGGTATTTATGAGGATATAACTGGTCTATTTAGGTTCCTTATGGAACACATGCCTGGAATGTATGCATTTACTGGGTCCCAGCCTGTGGAAGAACATTAGCATCAGCTATGTAATTGCTGGAGTACAAATGAAAATGTTTCCTGGCCCCTTTGTGTCAGCAGCGCCCCTGTGCAGCATTTAGATAGCTCGTGTGTTCATCGTGGTCCAGGGCGCATCCTCACATGCTGAGGAAGGATCTGGAGCTGCATTCGTGGTCCCAGACCTCTTTGTGCTTTGCCCAAGTCTCAAAATCATGTGCATCCTTTGAATTACTGGTAAAGGCCAATTCTGGGTGAGATCTTGTGGGTAATTTCTGTGAGTCTGATCAAACAATCCAACCTTTTGTGTAATCTTAGGCAGGTAGACCACAATGTTGTTATCCTCATTTAACAAATGAAGAAATGGCCTCTTAAATCCAACCTTTTGTGTAATCTTAGGCAGGTAGACCACAATGTTGTTATCCTCATTTAACAAATGAAGAAATGGCCTCTTAGCAAAGTACAGACCTTGCCCACGTCACCTGGCTAATAATGAGCAGCCAGGACAGAAACCAGGACTCACGGGTTTTCTAACCAGGGCCTGGGGCTGACTGGTTGGCAGAGAAAGGAAGGTAATGGCATGACTTCCCTCATCTCTGAGCATAACTCAAGGGTAGACAGAACAGAATTCTGCTGCCTTCTGAAATAACTGACCTGCTGAACCAAAGGCTGAAGTCAGAGGCCAGACATTCT